AGGTATTAGGAAGAAATTCTTCATTGTGAGGATGGTGAGACACTGGCACAGGTTGCCCAGAGAAGCTGTGGCTGCCCCCTCCCTGGCAGTGTTCAAGGCCAGGCTGGACAGGGCTTTGAGCAACCTGGTCTGGTGGAAAGTGTCCCTGTCCATGGCAGGGGGGTTGGAACCAGATGGTCTTTAAGTCCTTTCCAACCCAAACAATTTTGTGATTCTATAATTTTATGATATACAGTACATATCATTACTCTTCCTCCTTCAAGTCTGTAACTAGGAGGGCTGAGAAACTCTAGACATTTCTAGCAGGAGTTGCCCTTTGCTACCCCGTACTATGTGGGAGGGCTGCAACTGAGGGACACCAGTGTTTCCAAACAGACAACTTTCATGTAAGGCATAAATGATAAATCCATATCCCTGGCTGGAGGTATTCTCTTTTTCCTCTCAAAGATAATCCAGAAAGTTTAAGCAATGTGCTAATGCTGTGAGAGCAGTCTGTTTGTTTCTGTGGCAGTGAACGCTGTGTGTGCACACTCTTCTCCAGCCAACCTTTGCCTCCTGTGGAGCCCATGATCTCAGTTCCGTCATTCTCTTCTGGGACCCAGATCACCTGTCCTGAGCCAAGGCTTCCCCTTGGCTGTCACTGATTACATAGACCTGTCACATGAAGCCCTTCCATCCAGCCAGCTAGCTGAGTCACTTTGCTGATAAGCTGACCACGTATCTTCTCATGTGGAGGACTCTCACGGTGTGAAAGGCAATGTTATTGAAAAACTCAGTCCAACACAAACATAAGTATGTGAGTGACAGGAAGCACATGAGTATTTTTGCTAGCTGCCACTGGACTATTTACTTACTTTAGGGTATCACAAGTTTAACTGCTTTGCTTAATCACAGCTCAAGCAGATACTTGAGAACAAGAAATCTTTGGCTCGGTCCACTGAAAGTTTTAAGGCTGATTGGACAGCTGCCTTTCCTGCTTTAAGTGATCTATTAAAAGTCTAAATTGCCTCTTATTGTTGCCTTAATACTTTACAGGCAGTTGCTCCCCAGGCCTCCTAACCCAAATAGTGTATCTCAATGTGGCTTTGTCTGAAGAAGAAGAACCATGCTACAGATCGCACTGGACTAATCATTGATCCTGTGGCTGCTTACTTGATCAGGGGAATGGACTGGATCGTTCCAGGTCAACCTTTTCCATTAGATTTTCCTTGCAGCTGAGAGCTAAATATGTGCATGCACCCATGAGAGGCGGTGCAGCAGATGTCTCTCTCCTTGCAGATGTGGGGCTCTGCTTCTTCGCATGACCTGCTTGTCAGCTCCCCAAACCCTTCGCTGCTCCAGAGGGCAACAGGGAATATTTGTCTGCCCTTCAGGATCTTCAGTGCAACTGGCCAGACCCATCAGGGTAAACCAGCTCATGTCTGGCACAGCCTGCTTTTCAGTATCCTAACCATGATCCGACACTGACAGACAAGGTATGGTCACATGGAAATGCAAAGTACTATTCCTTCTGCCCGACAGGAGGGCGGACTGAAGCTCAGACAGGCTGTGTAACTCACCAACCATCATGAACGGGGCTTGTCTACAATGCCAAACGGATGTTAGTGTTGAGATGCCTTGTCTATCAACAGCCCGAGATGGTAAATCAAAAAGGTTTACCATAGCCTGTACTTAACAGTTCAGGTCTGGATGACATGTATATATTAATCAGGTGCTGAGCGTAAGCTAGTGAGTTGGACTCTTTACAGGACTTATCAGCTGGGACGGGCAGGCTTGCCAGCACGGCCATATGGCTGCTGGGCTGAGCGGGTTCAGCTCTCCCTCTGCCTTACACACCAGCTTTGTACGGGCAGAGCTAGCAGGGTCTGCCTGCGTCCTCCAGCGGAAGTACACAGAAAGGATAACAGACCGCAATTGTGAATTAAGCATGTCTCCTAAGTACCACCCAAGCGCCGCGGTGAATGGGCTATCTTTCCCCTGTTACGGCGAGAAATTCAGTGCTGGTACAACACTTTCCTCTAAGCGTTCAAAACTCTTCAGCAGACCCACTTGGCCTACACCACAGCACAGAGAAATAAAAGCAGCTAGGGGAATAAAAGTGCCCTAGGACCGCTGTAAATCTTTACTTCACGGAAAATCTTATCTTGCACATGAATACGAGCTGCAAGTAAATTTAATGTGTGGATTAAGTACTATGCAGTCTCCCTCATGGTGGGCTTTTCAGCCTAAAAAGAACAAAAGAATAATAATGAGTGTTGTGTTTGGGTATGATTACAAACAGCTGTAATTTACAGCTGGACATTCTCCCTTGCAAATGTATCCAGCAAGCAAATGATTCTGGGTTAGTGGAACAGACTGCAAAAAATTAGCTTTTAACTTCAGCCTTAAGGTCAGAGTTCTGGGACCATGGGAGTCAATAATAAAATCTATTTAGCTCAGTGGGATTAAGCAGGTTTAAGACCTGGCTTAACCACACTGCTTACTGTTAAATAACAACAGAACACACTGAATATTTTAGTTACACGCATTTTTCTTCATTTGAAAGCTAGTCAGGCAGTGGATGTGAGAGTCAGACAACCGAAGATATGCTAGTGCTATACCGTTAAGGTATATGAGTGAAGTTCTTCCTCTTCTCTATCCCAGAAACTGAACAATCTGTGTAGTGAGACCACTTCACTGAAGAGCACAATAAAATTAAAGCCAAGCTGTGCTGTATAAACACCGAGGGTTTTTCATGAGAGAATGAAAAGCTAATGGGGCCAGTGCATCTTTCCTGACAAAATAGTCAGTACATGTGCAGAGCAACCTGTCTTCTGGAAGCAGAAAAGCTGTTTCAGTCAAGCTTCTGGGTCACTAATCTTTGTGTTTGCACATAAATCTGCTGGGGGTTACTGTGTCATTCTGAAAACAAGACTGAGTGCAATACACTAAAGAAATCAATGGCTACAGATTTAAAAACTCTCTTTTTTTGGTGGTTTTTTTTTTGGTTTTTTTTTTTTTTTTTCCTCTTTCAGTTTAGCTAACTGCTACCTTTTTAACAGAACCTGAAAGCAAAAACTGCAACAAGGACTGCTGGAGAATATTTTTTTTAAAAAATAAGGGGTAAAGTTACCGAGAGCTTTATTTAAGCTGCCATCTCCCTTGGTGCTGGGAAGTGCTGGTGTGTGACCAGGAGCTCTTAGTTGCTACTGACACAGAAGTAATGAGCAGCAATACCATAGGCATCCTTGCTTTAGTCAAGACTAGACAGTAACTGCTGTCACAGTGTGGGTTTTTGGCCCCCTGCCCTCCCGTTCACTCGCTGCGGTGAGGTTACCGGCAGACAGGAGGCTCCCCCGCTGAGGGTGCACCCTTGGCTTCCCAGCACCCCTTCCAGAAGGAGAGGAGGAGGGTGCCCTGGCAGCCGAATGTTTGCAGAGCAGGTGGGAAAACTGTAGTCTCTGGGCATGCTTTTAGGGGCAGAAAGGGGACTATCTGATAATAAATACGAAATCTGAGGTGTGACGGGCCCTTCTGCCCTGAGGATGAGGGTAGCCTGAGCCCAGCTCCCTCACCACCCACTGATGAGGTAGGAACTATCTATCCATCACCGACACTTTTCTTCCTAGGGGATACAGAGAGCGCACTGCAGGGTTTGGGGCTATTGTCCCCACCAAGTGCAAAAGCTGCTTTGCCTCAGGGGTGAGCTTGCACACCTCCAGGGAGAGGAGTATAATGCTGGCTCTGACTCCACTTTCTTTTTGCATTCGTCCTAGTTACAGCAAATACTTGTATGCCCTACAACTGTGCCAGCGATTTCACCCGCATCCCATACATTTCACTCGGGAATTTTTTTCCTTAAGGGGGGGAAAAAATTCTAAACAAAATGGTGTTTGTAAACTTGGGGGGAGAAGGTCGATAATTTTGGCTGTCTTAGCCTCCAAGCAGAGAGAAATGTTATTCATCCATGCACAACATATAATTCAGCCTAAGTGACAGGCTCTGCTCTGGAGAAATCCTGGCCTGAGCTGGCTTCCAGAGTCAATTACTGCTTATTCCCAGGGAGGCGGGGGGCAGGGGGCCAGACAGAGCAGAGGGGGCTGCCAACAAGGCATGGGGAAATTTACTCTGTGTCAGCCTGCATGACACAGTACCTCATTTGTGGATAAATGTAAATCTGCTAGTTCTTTTTCACAGGCACTAAAATGTACAGTCTCTCCTCCCCCTTCCCTCCCCCCGTTCCCAAAACTGGAAAAGAAATCAGGACTGTCTTAGAAAGCTGCCTTATATTTCAATCAATCCTCTTTCATAAAAGTCATTTAAGGTAAATACCTGTGCAGACCTACGGCCCAACTATAACATTTACTATGGCCCAAATCCTGAATTCCTCACTTGGGCAAGTTTCCCATTGAAGTTAATGGATTTTTGCTCGAAAAAGAGCTGAGTAAAAACTGAACACTGTCTAAGGATTTGGTCCCCTGCTTATCTGCCTAGAGCACTGCTGCAGTTCCAGAAGAAGTGAAAAAATGAATTAAATTCCTCCAAAATACCAATCCCTCGAAACTTAAGGGGTAAAAAAGGGCATTGTTTTTGTGCCTAAGATGTACAGAGAACTCATCAACAGAAGAGTAATTCCCAGGGAAAGGATTTGGAAAAAGTCAAAAGAGAACATCTCAGAATAAATGAAGTACTTATGGCTGAAAAATGAGCTCAGATATATCTCAGCAAACTCTAAAGCTCAGAATTTACTGCATCATTCATGCTTTCTCCAGTAAGTTTCTTATCTCTCGTTTGGTATCACAACAAGGGATTCTGCATACTCTGTATGAAATACAACAAGACTGTGATTTTTGCAGTAATAAACTCTACACATGCATGACAAATCCAAGCATGCAAAATGTTTAACATCCCAGTTCACAGATACTTTGGGGACAAAATCCGATTATGAGTTATATGCCACAATAAATAGGGCTCAACGTTTCATAAAGCAATTTATAGTTCATAAAAATGACAAAATGTACCTGTCAGATAGAATGCGGAGAGCAGATCTCTGTGCTGCCTGCTGGAAGAAAGGGCAGAGATGTTTATTTTATATTCTGACTTGAAAATTACGAGCACAATCAACACTTTAAAAAATGCGTTACACACATTTTTGTCACGTGTCCAAAATGTTAAAGTACGAGCAAAGTAGCAGAGAGTCTATAGTCAAATGGACATTCCAGCCTAGTAAATGTAAGAACACTTTGTTAAGTACGCCATAAACTAGAAGATTGTCAAAGCACCGCACGATATTTGAGGTCTGAACTACTCTATTTAGACGATTTTTTCTGTGGGTCCCTGAAAACTCGGCAGGGCTCGGTTCTCTGCCTTCCCCTCTCCCCGCTTCCGCACTCCCACTCCCTCTCCTTTACCATTAGTCTCCTCCCATTCTTCCACAGAAACAAACATCACATATTTGGTTCCTTTTGCGATGAAGCCCGTAGCTATAATTATAAATTTTGCAAAGCTTGCCAGAGCTGCTGCAGACTTTTCATGAGCGCTGCCATGTTAATCTGCTGGCAACTTTTGACTACACAGTGCAGGATTGACCTGTTGCTGATTTGCTCCTCAGTTTTTGCCTAGTACAACTCTTTGGATGGGGTGGGGAAGCATCGTGCTTGTTCTTGTGTTAACCAGCAGGTTTGGGAATAGAAACTGTAGCCTCTCAAGTTTAATAGGACTCCCAAGCCTCTCCCTGAGCTAGTTTGCCACTTTATTATTATTATTCTTTCCCCTCTTTCAATCACTTCAAGTGGTGTGATTCATGGCTTTGGCACAGTCACCAGCTGCTAAGCAAAGATGAAATCCATAATGTTTTGAAAATCTGCTTTAAAGCCTTCATTCTACTTGGAGCTACCCAGAGCGTCCCCTTCCCAGCTGTACCTGTCCAGGCTGTGCCTCACCTGGTACAGAAGGGACACAAATCTAAGCATTAGGGTGAGCCAATGTGCAGGGAATTAAAAGTTGGTTTTCTTTGCAGTCACCAGTAAATAGGTTTTGAAACTGTTCTTTCTGGCTTCTCAGGCTGCTGGGGGCTGCATCCTTATTCCTGACCAAGCCGCACAGCTTGGCGGCATCCCGCTCAGCACCAGAAAACATGGGAGGTAACCTTTCTGGCTAGTCAAACTGCTGCTGACAGGCTGCAAAGAAAAACTTGATAAAACCTGACTTGAGGTTGCAGTTATGGAGCATTTCGCAGAAAGGTGTGAAAAGATCCCCTGAGTGGATCCCTGAAGATCTGACAGGAGTGCAGAAATGCTTTGGGAAGAGTTTCTACTTGATTTTGGAAGCAGGGTTTCTGCTTGGGGAACTTTCTGGAATAACTTGTGCCTCCTGGGATCCCTGAGGAGAAGTAGTTTGCCGTATATCACACACCAAATTGTCAGGAGGCAAGGTGGCATGGCTCACAGGAGGGTTTTTCCTTAGTGTCGACTTTCTGCAGTGGGCAGATAACCCGTGGGAAGGGCTGGGAAGGTCGAGTGTGCCCATGGCACAAACATGCTGGTTTTAGTGTTGGGAAAATAGTATGGGGAGCCTGGTATTTTTTGCTGTCTCCAGTAGGTCATCCTATTTGCACGCTCCTTGTATACAATGCCATCCACGCCATGCAGGCCACTGGGTACAAGGCAGGCTTTAAGAGGAGCAGCCACTTTCCAGTCCAACGGGCTGGCACCATTTTTACTCTCTTCTCTGCAAGGGGCTCGTTATGACAATTTCATCCCACTTCTTGCACACAACACAGGAAAGACTCAAACCTTAGGTTTAGGAATGCCTTATGGCTTAATCTCTTCTTTAATACCCTGGGCCAATGCAAGTTCATCTCCTTCCATGCCTAATCACCCTCACCAGCAGGATGCTATGTCCATTTTGAGTTTCAAGCTGCCCAGCTTCGATGCTGAGGTCTGTGCTGTGTTATGTCTTTGCCTGCAAAACTCAGGAGTCTCCTCTCACTGTCATAACCCTTCCCCATGGCCAAATTGCGTAGACACCATTCAGGTCACCTCTCTGCCTTCTCTCCCACCAGCAGCCAGGGCTAGTCTTTCCCTCACAAGCAGTCACTACGTGGCAGTGATGTTTAAGACACTTCTAGTGTTTCCCACTCTTGGCTCAGGCCACCACAGGTGCGCATGTGATTGTGCAATGCAACAGGTTGGAAAACTGATCCAGCTGAAAAACAACACTTCTCCTTCTGTGCGCTTTTTTTTTTTTTTTCTATTTCTTTCTTTTTCCCCAGGTTATATGTAATCTGGATCCCTTTTCTGAGCTGCTTCCCCAGGGAAAGTGTGTCACATTGCAGGCTGCAGTGTGAGAATGGGAACGGGACCGTGGGGGGCAGCATGCAGTGGAGACCTTTGCTGCGGAGATACGGGCATGTCCACCAGCAAGGCTGCTTTCACCTGACACTATTCTCACTCCTGGAGCAAGGTACATGGTGGCTGCAGTAGCCAAAAAGCACTGAAGGAGACAGGGTACTCTGTAGCCACAGGCCTCATGGACCTTACAGAGACCTCAAGAAAACAAACATGGACTTTGATGTCACTGAAAGCCCCTAACGTGGTGATGTGGGGTGCATATCACCCTTTTATTTCCCTGAAATCCCCAATTTTGAGAAAGGGAGAAGAGCCGGATACTTTCTCTTCCAGTCTTGATGAAAGCTGCCCTCAGGAGGGAAGAGGAGAGGACTCTTGTCTTGACCTGTTTGGTGTGTTAACCAAGCCAGGCCATGTGGTGTTGGACTGCAGCCTCAAGTGTCAATCTTCAGCTTCCATCTTGGTACTGCCGTCTTGGCAGCTTTGAAAAGGTGAACGCCTCTGGGTAAGAAAGTGGGTTCAGATGACAGGCAGCGCAGCAGAGAGAAATGTACAAGTGCTTTTCAGTGAGATCATTCTACTTTTTCAATTAGCCTCTCATTTTAAGTCCTTTAATAAACGTCCTTCTTCACCAGGATGCAATGCAGATTGCATGGGGCACCTCGCTCTTTGCTTGGTGGTCGCATGTTCTGTAAATGAGACTATTGATTTCTTTCTTACACCTTTTGAAAATACAACCATGTTTGATTGCATATTTGTGTGACCCCCTGAGTTGGTAATGGCCCCATTTCTAAGTGATGGGGGAATAAGATCCAGTTGCAAGTTTATTCTCCCTCCCTGGAGAAACAAATCTATTGCCTGCAATGAAAGGCAGTTAGCAACTATCTGGCAATTTTAATTCTAGCCTATATTGCTCCTCTCTCCTGGAGAAAGCGAGCTGTTGTAATTAAAGGTAGTTAGGAGTTCCCTAGCAAGTATAAATACTTGCAGCCACTAATTACAGTCTGCTCTCTTGTTCCCCTGCTAGAGGACTGGGCTGCTCAACCTAGGGGGAAATATCTGCCCTCGCTTCTTGCTAACAGTTTTTTGTGACCCCATTCAAACTCATTCCTGAATCCCCATGGAGGGTCATGACCCATGGTTTGAGAAACTCCCAGCTATAGAAACAGCTTTCTGTGATTTATTATGTTTCTAATATGCTGGCATTATCTATATAACAATGTAAGCAAAAGGGTTGTACTTAGTATCGTATACTGCCTGCATGACTATTTTTTTAATAGCTTGGTTTTGATTGCGCTATTTAATTTGCATTTTATTTTACACCATTAACAACTTTACTGAGGCCAACTTATCATCCACCAAGAAAGACGAAAATATGTTCTATAGTCTTCATTATTCCTGGAAGTAAGTGACTATGCTGGTTATAGAAATTAGGGATAAGAATAATTTTGAAGTTTGATATTGCTGACAGAATTTAAAGATCTCTTAGACTTACCACTAAAAAGTGCTTTATGGGAAGCTTAATATTCTCTTGATAAGTGATTGAATGTTTGTAACAGTAATGGGTATAATCCTGAATTTTCAGTTCTTTGAATCAGTGGGGTTACTGATGGAGGAAGGCTCTCCTCAATACGAACACGGATATTGGAAGCCAACTCGCCACATAATAACTTTAACGCTGAGTAGGAAGCAAGGAAGGGAAAAAAAAAATCACTTAGGTGATTCAGGTACTTGGGCTAGAGAAACCAGCCACAGTAAATGAGATGAATTACTCCGTTTCACTACATCAAGAGTTGTAAATTATAGGATACCAGCTGGTTAGACTTCTTCGACCCCCACCTGAGTTGGTTACAGATACATTTAGGGCAGAGTTTCATTGATCTACCTATAGTTCATTAATCATTCATGAAAGATTCTAGCTGTACCCCAAGACTACTGGGACAAAACAAGTTTTCAGCCAGCAGTAATGATGTTCAGGTTCTCAGTCTCCAGAGATTGCATCTCCTTACTCCATCCTTTATTGCAATGAGTCAGAGCTTGGGAACATAATCAGCAGATATTCAGGTTTCAGTGTGTGTTAAATGAGCTACCAAAATTACTTGAAGTGTCACAAGTTGCAATCTGTTGTTGAAGGGAAATCAAAGAGGAAATTAAATACTTTCATTGTAATTGGGACTGAGCAGTGAGCTAGTTCATTGTAATTGGGATCGAGCAGTGAGCAGAACAGGTTGAATACAGCTATTGAGCTGGATATACAGGGGTGTTAAGAGTTGTCCCCAGAAATCTCTCTTTTTTTTTTTTTTTTCCTGTTTGGAACAGAATTGCTTCATAAGCTTCTGGGTTTGCAGGCACTTTTGGATAAGGAACAAATGAGAACTACTGAAGAATGTTCTGCTGGGCTTGGAAGAGTGTCTTGGAGGCAATGCAGGCTGACCGTGGATGCATTTTCCTATACCTCACCCATGCCACGCTTTGGCAAATAAAATCCAATAAATTGACCATTGGCAGAATCAGACATTTTGCTTTCCATTTTTCCTGTCCTGTGGACTAATTGCTGTTATCATGAGAGAGCTCAGTTACAGCAATTGTATGGAGTTACACCAGTCATACCAGAGACTTCACTGAGATGGCGCAGGTGTACACAAGGTGAGAATTTGAACCATTTCTTTGGTGACAGTGTAACAATATGTACTCCCTGTGCATGAGTAAATTG